GAATATTATTTATGATTTTAACTTTATACACAAGTGCCAAAATACTATAATTATGAAATACCAGTCTTTCAAAACGCTGCCCTTTCCACTTGAGCGTAACAAATCTCAATAAAAAAATAATATTTTGATGTTAAAGTACAATGTACACTGCTTAAAACTTATTCTTAAACTACAATCAAGAGTATTGTAAGTAGTTTTTTCATATTGCTATGGTTGAAATAAATACAATAAGCATTACAAAGTTTCAAATGATTATATTCACAATATATTTCAAATGTTTCTATACACTTCATATGCACTTGCTTTTAAGTTATATATAACATGCTATTTTACTGTAAATTACCTGTAATGTGCTTGTATGCACATGTTTATAAGCTATAGACAATATTTAAGTAGGATGTAATTTACCTGTATCAAGCATGCAATCTACTTTTAATTCTATAAATTTTTTTAATAATTATAAAACAAATGTATTATGTATGAAGTCGATTTGTACTTTAAGCTGTGCACATAACATTACTACTAAATCACCTATTTATAGCCAGAAATATACTAGTATACTATAAGCTACTTGTATCACATCATTAGTTAGGTCACATTAGTTTTAGCTAATTACTTAATTGTTATATTTACCATTATTTCTTCATCTTCTAAGTCTTATTACCATTATTGAACTTTCTTGAATCTAATCATCTTTACTTTTTGGCTAGTACTGAAAAAATAGCTTATTTCCTCCTCACTCTTCCATGTTTTTTTTATCAAGCAACAGAGGTAAGATTAGTTGTATTAGACACATCTCAAAAGAATGTTTAATATATTTTTCTTTTTTATTACATTTATCATGGTTATAGTATAATTAAAGTATCCATATTATAGCTATTTATTTATGATTTATGTTTTCACTTAACTTTATTATTATTTTGTACCTTCATAAGCATTAGCTTTTAGCTGTATGACTGGTAATATCTTGCTATTTGACAGTAAAGCTAAACAGTAATGTGTCATGGTAACTTACCTCAAATGTCATGCTACTGTAAAATGGATCTTGGAAACATTTAATGGGCTTTCACTTGTTACAATACATTGTTAGTGTGAGTAGTGTAAAGTTTTGCTTATACAGTTATACTGGTGTTAATTTATTCATATTAAATTTACAACAATGTTGAAGCTAACAACAGTGCTTATATGTCCTGCAAGTAGGATATAATCTATTATTTATTTATTATTACTGTCATTACTTTTAATTTATTTTATCATGGAGATTATTTTCCATTCTTAGTTTTGTATATGGATAACGGACTATCCTAAACCTAGTTAGATGGCTCAACCTTGTAAGATATTTCTGAGTTTATGGACAAAAATATCATTAACAGTGAGAGTACCAAACTAATGCATTCTAATCTTTATAAGTAAGAATTAGCTATACTCGTTACTAGGCTGATCTTTAATGTTGCTCTGAAAGTTAATATCAATGCATAAAATTTACATTTTTTAAAGTTGTTGACCACATGTTAGTGAATTATAAAAAGATTGTACTAGGCATGCAATATACCTTTAAGGTATATTGAACTCAACTGTTTTAAGTAGGTATTTGCCTAGAAAAAGAAAACTCAATGGAAAAAATTCATTTTGTAGGTACTATTATGAGGGCTGAAAACAGTTACTGTTTCCAGCAGCACAAATAGCCTCTCAATTAGATGGAGGAAGTTACAGATAGTTTTGCTATGAATCAATGAAACTGCAAGTTTATAAGTTCAGTGAATCATAAATGAATTAAAAACACTGGTTTGTTACTAAACAAAATTCTTGGAGTTCTTCCACTTATGCTGTAGGTGGGAATAATACTGGAATACACAAGCACTAAAATCATGTACTCATAAACCATTTTTAAAACAAAAATAAATTGCAAAGCCAAGTCTAAATCTGTTACCTGACAAAACTGATATGTTGAAGAACTAAAATATATATATATAAATGCACACAAACACACATTAATATTCACAGTTGATATGGCTTGTTTCCATTGCAAAGAACTACAATAATAAATTTGTTAAAAACTTAAAAAGTTAAATATGAAACCTATTACATACTTGACAAATTTTTGGATAAAAAAAACGGTTCAGCTGATAAGAATGTAGAAATGTTGGACAGATGAAACTACTCTGAGCTGAAACACTTTTGGCCCTTAAGCTTTGCATTAATTTATCCAACTGTTGTTTAGATGCTGCTTGAGCCTGATGAGAACAAAAGAATATAAATTTAGCAATGGAAAAAAAAAATACACAACACTAATACCTGCAATATTTCATTTACAAAAATTATATCACAAAATTATACTAAGTTCCTTAACTCAACAGAATGTAATATAGCTAACATATCATCACTTTCCATGTCAAATTCAGCATTAGGCTTCAACTTTAAAACAGTCAAATAATTAACTAACTAAAAATGTACTTTTTATAAAGAATTTTGATAATAATGAAAACAAATGTTAAATTTGTATCAAGTTAAGCAATATTTCATATCTAAATAAAGCTTGAGTGAAACCTTGATGCTCTTCAACAGCTTAATGTTAATGATAGGGGTGTTATTTTATGAACCAATATACTCTAAAAATGTAATAAAAACAATATCAAACAGTTTTTCTGATGTGTAATGTAAAACACTCATTATAATTATATATACACATATATATAACTGTAAGGCAAAGTCTAATTTTTATAGCTTTCAACCTTTTTGGTGTACAGTGTTATGAGTAGAAAAGCAGACCCACTTGCCACACCCATCACATTCCCTCTTTCAAATATAGCCAATAATTCTCTAGTGTTTTATATTATATCATTTATAACTAAAAGAAAAGCATTACTTTAATTTATAAAATGATGTATAATGCTACACTGTTTTCATTACAAAGTACTGTCAATTTCATCTGCAGTTTGATAATTTATCTCATGATGTTCAGATCAAGCAGCAAAGGGAATTAATTTAAACCCCCTTGTCTTAGTTAGAAAGCCAGTTAAATTATAATAGTTATAGGACACTGTTGGCTTTGTGCATGTTACTATTTTTAGGAGCATTATTTAAATAAATAAAAATAAGTAGGCTTAAATTTGATTGGCAACCAACAGCAAAACAACAAAGTCAAATGTAAGTATTTGTTTTTTTATGTATATTGTTTATTTATTGTTATAAAAGTAATTAAAATGTAACAATTAGAAATATATTGGATTAGGTAAGATAATGAAAAATAATAATTCTTCACAAGGTATGCTCACTAGCAGCTTGTGCATTATATCATACAATACAGTAATATGAGCTATACACTCACCAAGTCATTTACAACTTGTGTGGCAGGATAACTAATTAGACACAGTTCAAAGGCGAATAAATATTAGGTCATCAAGAAATCAATGTCATTTTTTTAGATGAAAAAAATCCAAACAACTTGTATATCAAAACAAAACATTCATTAAATGAAATAGTCTCCATTCTTATCGATGATGCTTTTCCATCTTACAATCTGGTTATTAATACCCTGATTAAAGAAATCACTTGGCTTTGAATAAAAAAAACATGTCAATATCCTCTAACACCTTTCACATTTGTATACGTTTTCCCATTAAGATGGTGTTGCAGCGAACAAAAAAGAAAAAAAATGGTAATCTGATGTTGCCATATCTGGAGAATATGGTGGGTGGGGGAGAATTTCCAAACCAGAACACCACCTTTCTGATTGACAAGTGAAGGGCATTTATGATGAAGGGCTTAATTTAAATGTTCCAGTTGCTGACTATAGATCTCTGCATTGACAGTTTGCTGGGAATGAGGAGTTCGAAATGAATTACTCCTTTGTCTCACCAAATGCAAAGCATCACTTTCTGTGGATGGAGTTCAGGTTTTGGGATCAGAAGTGATTTTTGTCTAGGACTGAGGCATTGCTTTTGGCATTTAATATTCACATAGAGAATCCATTTTTCATCACCAGTGACAATTCTGTCCAAAAATGGTTCATGTGCCACAAGAGACGAAGCAACTTTCACACGTAGGAAACAAATGTCATTGGAGAGTTCGTGAGGCACCGAAACACCTTCTTTATGGAGTTTTCCCATATTCCTTAAATGTTTATGTATTGTTTCATGAAACACGTGCAATTTCAGC